TACATAAGCATGTATAAGATATTGTCATTATACTTCATACTGTTAAATAAAATATATATTATATAATAGACAGCTATGGATATATTTTCTTTTTCTTATATGTTACACATTGCACATTCTATATTACAAGTTAATAATTGCACTTCCTGTTTATAATAATAACTGCTTGTCATGGGGGGTCCCATTCACTCTGCGACATTCTCTCCCTGATTACAGGGGCTTGGGTCAGACTGTGCTACACAATGTCCTGAGTCTGCGTCTCTCTTTGGGTCTGTGTGTCATCGGGGTATGTGTGTGCATCTGAGAAATGAGTGAGCAGACATTTCTCTGGCAATAAATCCAAGCTGGAAGGCATCAGGATAGCACCCCACCAAACACACAAAGAGCTATTACTAAGACTTAAAATAGAAGGCACAGAGACCAATCTAATTTACTGGTTCTAGAAAACAACGGAAAATCTCCCCAAAAGCAACCAGATCAAACATGAAAATTCGGGCTCAAGATTATTTTTGAACAGAGATGGAAAAGTTCCTCAAAGTCTGAGTAGAATCCAGCTGATATCAAGAAAGACTCACCAAGACCCCAGAGAGCACTTGGGCTGAGGCCAGGGTCTCTGGGGAGTCCCTATGAGGGGGAGAACATGCACTGTGGACGGAGAACAGATGTGAAGAGGTGCTAAACCACAGGGCAGGTGCCCCTTTGAGGTAGAGAGACACGGAGGTTTCAGTGCTGATCCCTGACTCACTGCAGGAGAAGAAGATGCCGTCCCTGGACACCACGCCGGGGAGCTCACTGATGCTCTGGGCGGCAGGGCCAGCTGCCTCAGCCTGGTCCTTCACATCCAAGGAGCCCAGTCCAGAAAAAGCTCTTACCCATCTGGCAGCATCACCCAGAGCCACCAGGGAGAGCTGTTCTCGGCTCCTTCCCTCACTGTGCTAGGCTCCTGGCCCTGGGGTCCTCTGCCATATGCCATCTGCAAGCCTTAAAGCCAGTGCTGGCTCCTCATTGCTACCCAGACCTTCCCCCAAGGAAAGCATTGAGTTCCACTCTGGTGCCTTGAGGTTACTCCACACAATTTAGAAAATTGGCTCAGGGCTCCCTCCAGAAGTCAGAAATCCCTGCTGGCAATTGTAGAGAATTCCAGTTTTGTTGTATTAGACAGTGCAAGCTGCCATAATTTCATGCTGACATTGCTACCTTTTCTCCTGAAACCTGTAGTTAAACTGAAGAGACTTCATATAATAGATAATTCTTCAAAAAGGAGGTTGTCACCTCCAGCCTGGCCCTGCAGCTCTGTGTCTCCCCTCTCCAGCCCTGGTACCCCAACTGCTGCTCCTGGGAATGGTCCAGAACTGAGTCAGAGGAGATCCCTGTCCCTTCTCACCACAGACACGGGTTCTGTGACTTCCCAGTGGACTCACTGCTGGAGGAGGAGGGACGGCTCAGCTCCTCGGAAGAAGACAAGCAGGGACTTCACAGAGGAAGGGAGACCTGTCCCAAGGATTGGGGTAGCTGTGGGGGGATGAGACTTCTGGGTCTAGGAAGAGAGTATCTCACCATCTCCTCTTACAGCCCTCAGACTCTTCATGGAAGAGATAGGACTGAGGTCACAGGGGCAGCGGGAGTACATTTTCAGACGTCACCCACAACACTCAGTGCCTCATCACCATGCCTTATGGTCAGGGTGACATCTGTGCATCTGCTCCTTCTAGACCTACACTAGGGGACATCGGTGACACTGGACAGGGAGAGGGAGGAGGCTGATTTGCATGAAGCCCCTTCTCCTCCCAGTGGGTCTGGAAGGCATGTGGAGGCCGGAGGACCCCACAGTGCAGCCTAGGAGGCTAAGGAGCCGAGTCTAGGGAGCATCCCCACCATGGCCTGGACGGTGCTTCTGCTCGGGCTCCTCGCTCACAGCTCAGGTCAGGGGTCGATATGCTGCATCCTTGGGGGACGTCTACAGCCAGGTGTCGGGGTGGTCTCCATAAACATGCTTGTCTCTCGCTTGTTGCTTTCAGGGATGGATTCTCAGACTGTGGTGACCCAGGTTTCATCTCTGTCGGTTTTCCTACGAGGGACGGTCACACTCACCTGTGGCCTCAACTCTGGGTCTGTCACTACCAGTAAGTACTCTAGCTGGTATCAGAGGACGCAGGGCCAGGCTCCCCGAATGCTTATCTAAAGCACAAACAGCTGCCTGTCTGGGGTCCTCAATCGCTTATCTGGAACCATCTCTGGAAACAAATCAGCCCTCACCATCACGGGGGCCCAGTCTGAGGATGAGGCCGACTATTACTGTGCTCTGGACACAGGTAGTTACAATAACACAGTGATGTAGCCTCACGGGGAAGTGTTTCCAAAATGTCCCTCTGAGCTCAGTGGTTTCAGCCCTGAGGGGCAGGAGAGGAAGAGAGAGGGTGAAATGTCAGCACCACAGCGATAGGGGGCGCCCTACCCCCATCTCCTGCCCAGGGGTTCCAGGCCATGTGCCTACTCCAGCCTCCCCCAGGGTGTATCCATCACTCCTAGGGGTCCCCTTTTCTCCCAATTTGATGGTGACTGGGGCTCAGGTCCAAATTCTGTCCAGCAGCTGTGAGACTCAGGAATCCAGCACCATCAAGACAACCTTCCCTGTTGACCTTGCTGATATCAGGCTGGAAAGTAACTTCCTGCACTGCGACCTCAGCAGGGTTCCCAGCAGCGCTGGGCAGAGACATGGGGTCACAGCCCAACCTCTCAGAAGTGGACCGGGCCTTGTCGTCCCTTGGGGAGTGTCTGGGTGTCCAGGGTGATGAGCCTCCATCCCATCAGAACATCCAGCCTGAGTGAGGCGGGCCGTCGGTGTGGTCAGCTGTCCAGTTCTCCACCCAGGATTCTGGCAGCCCAGGGGTAGCTGGGCTTCCTCCCCATCCCTCGGTGTGAGATTGAACGAGGGAGACAAGTCAGACTAGTCTGCACTTCTGTCCCCCTGCTGGGGACATTGAGGCCAGAGAGGACTGAACTATGACCCTGCATGGCTTAGCAGGACTGTGCCCGGTTTGGGGGCAGCGGTGGACACCGCAGTGCCCCTCCCTCTCTGGTGTCCCTGAGGCCATGGAGTCCAGCGGGCGAAGCACCTGCCCTCTGCAGCAAAGCAGCCCCTCTCAGCTTGGGTTCCATCCCTGGGTCAGCAGGTGCTGGTCCCCATGCCCCCAGGATGCAAAGTAGCTAGCGACCGTAGCTGCCCCACGGTCCCCAGGATGGAGTCAGCAGCACAGAGCAGTGGGGTCAGGGCACCCCTTTGCTGGGACAGTGGCAGTGAACACACCGCTGACCTTCTGCTGCAGGATGATCCCTGACCAATGATGACTAAATGGTCTCAGAGTTTCTTGACGGCACCTCCCCAAAATCCAGGTTCCATTAATAATGTCATTGTCATATCAAGAGCTGTGAAAATAAATATCGATGTGAAAACAGATTCCATTGGCACCAATACTGAGATGACTCAATGATGACATATATTTAGGGAACAACATCAGACCCTCGGATGTGCAGGTACAGACCCTCGGAACAAACGGAGCCCAAGGTGAACCGAGGCAGAAATAGAACCAGGAGAACAAAGTGGATGGAAACAGAGACCTGAAATACAGCAGAAGAAAATAAAAAAGAAATCTTTCTGCAGGGGCTCAAAGACATGTATTGCGCATTATTATTTTATTTCCTTATTTG